GGAAAAGCAATGCTGTGTCTAATTCAGTTCGCTGTCAGCACGACACGGCCATTCTTTGTGACGCTTTGAACAAATTAGCCCATGATGTGATGGGAGCAGGGAAGACCACACTCGCTGAAGCAGCGCGTCGGTAATCAGAATGTAAATGGCCCAGGATCGTGTTAATTGGCTGAGACCCCAATGTCTGTCTGGGACCAAACCCAAAAGTAGCAGAGGCCAGGTAGAAATATTGGAATTGGGTGAAATAATCGCGTAGTGGTAACCTCAGTCTTTGTGGCTCACAGTTCGATTCTTGAGAGACCCTCTCTCCAAACAGCTTTCATATTTTTATATAGTCTGTATATTTTGTGCCGGTCACGGTAGCTGAGCGGTCTAAGGCATGTACTGTCTTCGCTCGCTCGGAAGCCGGGATCGTGGGTTCGGATCTGTTTCCTGTGAGGTACGAACTGAATTCTTATATATTATTCTTATACACTGCCGGTCACGGTAGCCGAGCGGTCTAAGGCATGTACTGTCTTCGCTCGTTTGGCGCTGGGATCGTGGGTTCGGATCTGTTTCCTGTGAGGTACGGGCTGAATTCTTTTATTTGTTCTTATACACTGCCGGTCGCGGTAGCAAAGCGGTCTAAGGCATGTACTGTCTTCGCTCGCTCGGAAACTAGGATCGTGGGTTCGAATTTCACACAAGTCATGGATGTTTGGTATGCGTATGTGTTTATTCTGTATTTGTGTTGTCCTCTGTTTAGGTAAAGGCCTTGCGACGGGCTGATCTCTCGTCCAAGGAGTCTTACCGTCTGTAAAATAATAAAAATAAAAAAACTCGACACCGTAGGGTATAAGAGGAACTAATTAAATAAGTAAGTATATTCTGACGATACTCTTATCAACTGTTTTAAGCAGTGAGGTCCCTGATCACGGTGACCACGCGGTCTAAGACATGAACTGCGTTCGCCCGCTCGAACATTGGGATCATGGGTTCAAATCCCACTTGAGGCAGGGATGTGTGCGCGTGTTTATTCTGTGTGCAGGTAGCGGCCTTGCGACGGGCTGATCCCCCGTTCAAGGAGTCCTATCCTCTGTATAGAAGATGAAGAAACTAAAAAAGCGGCTAAGGTCCAACAAAGGGCTCTAGAGCCATAGATATATAGATAGAAATAAAATCGTTAAAAGAGTTATAGAGGCTTCCGGTCCTAGATTTAAACACGGAACTCCAGAACAGTCTATAATGCAGGAGTACGTTATGGTCTCTACTTTATTTCTATAGGATTAGATTACGTTTCGAGAGTCCTTTAACTTTTCTTCAGTATGTTGATTAATTAACAGCGATGTCTGATGTCATCTGGGATGTGGAGCCCTGTAGTCGTTGTATAAACAGACGTTTCTGTGGAACGCTGCAGCTACCTACTCACGTTGGTTCCTCCCTCGAGGATTTTTCTTTCGTTTTTCTTCTACCATGAAGATGGAGGCGATATGTTCCTCCGAAACGTCGGTTTATACAATGTCTAAACGACGGCACATTCCAGAAGACGGCATTCTTCATAGTCACCGCCAAGGAAAACTCAAGTCTTACATAGTTTATTTCTGTTTGAAATTGAAACCGGGTCTCTCTCAATAAAAGCCTTTATACTCAGAATTACTGTATTTTTTACTTTGTTCATCGTCCGGTATTCTAGAAACTAGAAAGCGCAACATTTAGGAAACAGATCCAGTTTCCGAAACGTTGTTTTTTCTAGTTTCTAGAATACCGGATGATGGACAAAGTCCGAAAACCCCAGCAATTCTGAGTGTTATACACCATCGTCAGAACCCTTTAGAATCTAGCGTTAGACTAGTCTGCTAGGTACGATATTAGTTTCCTTAGACAAATTTCAAGGCATATTTAACAAAATAAATATTGTTTTTGGGGTTGAAAAAGTTTTGTACGTGACGGTACAGGCGTCCTCTTTGAGGTTATGGTTCCCCCTTCCCCAAACCTTATTTTCTGTCTGTCAGTGAAGCCGTTCGGTCGTTTGTATTAGCATCAGCATTTTTCTGAAGTTTATCGTTTGTTCTCGCTTAACTTCAAAAGCCTTCCACTGATGTGTACCTCCCACACTACTCCCCCCCTTTTTTTTCTAGCGGCAAGGAGAGTGAGAGGCATCGTTCACAGCAGGGGGCCAAAATTCTACTTCGCTTGGCCCCTAGTACTGACCTCATACCCCCGTCATCATGTTAGTTTCAGCGTATCCCCCTTCCCCAGGAACTTTCCAACCACGCCTACAGAATGTAGAGCACACTGGACCTAACCGTATGTCTGTCTGTCATGTTCTCTTGCTGACACATTGCTGCTAACAGAACAAAGTTTCCAACCCACAAACTGTCTACCCGGTTTCTGGACGTGCGCCGTATTGTAACCCACACCTCTTCGCCTCAGTGCCTACAACCCACCTAAAAAAGCGTACCTTGTGATCTCGCAAGGTCATACCCGTTCATATTAATCCGTGACAATTCTGGTATTCGGTAGATCCTTGTACTACATCCTGGCACGGATTATCCTGAATAACGTTGGATTTGAGGTTCTCATGGCGATGATTATGAAGAGTATGGTTTTCTGGGTTGTAACGCCGTGTAGTCTGGTTGCTGTCTCCTTCTGCTGATGTATTGTTTTGCTTTATTTTTCGATTCTGAAAATGGAGACGATATTTTCCTCCGAAACTTCGCATTGTCTCAAAACTACCAGGTATTATGTCACACAAAACCGCTCTCTTCCTTGAATAAACTGGCATACAAACTTATGTATTCTTGAATATAATTTTCTTTTTTATTTTATGCTCCTGTAATGACACCGTAATCCGTATATTTTGTCGATGATTTCCTCTAACAGGCCTACAAAATCACAGTACCTTAAGTATAAAAACTCCATGACTTTTAGTCTGCAAGCAAACTATACCGACTGAGCAACGGCGGCTTTTCGGCAAAGTTAGTGCCAAATTTAGCGGATAGAGGGTGTCGCGTAGTCAGCGCAACCGATTCTCACAGCTGTTAATCTCGGTTTTCTAGACCGGAGCCGCTATTTCCTTCAAATAGCTCCTCAATTATCCTCATGAGGCTGAGTGAACCCCGTTCCAGACCCACTACTCAGAAAATCTGGTAGCGCCGGGAATGGAACCCGGGACTTCTGGATCTGTAGCCTGGAACTCTGACCAATAGACCACAGAGGCGGTCTAAAATTAAGTATTCGGTACTAAATCTGTAAAATCTATGATCTCGGTACAAAAGTTCGTATACTTAACTCCACTGTTCCATAATTCCTTCCATTAAACCAAACAGAACTATGAGCATCCGTCGCTGCCAGCTCGCAAGTTTGCAAAACGCCATGCTCATATTAACTTATGGCAGAATATCAGAAAGTACGGAGGCAGAATGACACCTTGTGACATGATATTCATACTAACTCTCTACCATACTAACTCCATGGAGCCGAACAGTATTTGAGAGCTCAGCAGTCGCTCAACTACTCAAGAATTTTGCAACGCTTTATAGAAACCGAAGGTTCATTACATTTTTCACAAAAGTGCACTACTGGTCTCTAATCTAATACAGGTGAATCCAGTTAATAACACCCCACCTTTTTTCTCTAAGATCAATTTTAATATTATCCTCCCACTTACTTCTAGTTCTTCACAGTTGTCTCTTGCCTTCTGGTCTTCCCACCTAAACCTTCTATTTATTCGTATTCTATCGCATGCGTGCTGTATTCCCTGATCACATGATTCCTGCTTTAATGAAAATCCGTCATTTTTTTCAGAAGTTACCAGGCATTACATTGGTGTATTGATTATTATGTCTCATGTTAGTGTTTAAAGTGTCCAGTGTTTATGCTGACAGTTATGAGTATATTACTTTAAAATGACATATGATAAGAGATCATTTATTGTAGTCCCAGTAAAAATGTACGGAATTATTTAATTACTTTTAATTTATACTGAGGAACCAAAGTTATCAACACCAGGTACAATGCACAATGAACACTTTACAGTGTTTGAGCACTAATATTGCGCTAAACATTTCGCTGCTAAGCTCATATATTGCGACAGTGATGACAGAAGAATAAAAAAGAGCAAAAGTATGCTAAAACTATTGGATTATTGTAAATATTCGTCATATATAACTTTAATTTATTTTTAGTGGAATTTGTTGTAAATTGGAATCTATGAAAATGTCAAATGCTCAGAAAAAATTTCGTCTAAAATATCTTAGAAAGAACGTCATACCTTNAATGTACAAAATTATTTAATTGTTTTTAATTTATACTGAGGAACCAATGTTATCAACACCAGGTATAATGCACAATGAATACTTTACAATGTTTGAGCACTAATATTGCGCTAAACATTTGGCTGCTAAGCTCATATATTGCGACAGTGGTGATAGAAGAATAAAAAAGAGCAAAAGTATGCTAAAACTGTTGGTATATTGTAAATATTTGTCATACGTAACTTTAATTTATTTTTAGTGGAATTTGCTGTAAATTGGAACCTATGAAAATGTCAAATGCTCAGAAAAAACTTCGTCTAAAATATCTTAGAAAGAACGTCATACCTTGGTTAGGCAGCCTTAGGTAGGCCGCACACCGGCATGCGTCAAGACTTGTAACAGTCAAGACACGATATCTGCGACATGACGCAAAGAAAGGAGCACATTTGAAACGAATGAGATTATGAAAACCGCCGCACACCGGTCTGAGTCATGATGCTGACGAATCACGAATGAAGCAAGACTGCATCTTTTGTCTCATGTCTTGATGCTTGTCTTGACGCAGTTGGTGTGCGGCCGCCCTTAGTGAATAAAAGTTCCGTGTGTTCAATGAGACCTCCGGTATGATGATTTTTATTTTTCAGTGTATGTGGGAAAGAGACTTTTTTAATGATGACGCAGGTTCGAAAATGTTGTCGACGTAGTTTAGCGCAGGCCTGAAATTCTGCTGAACTCGAGCTGAAGCTGTTATGGTTTCTGCTTCAGGTGTGGTTCCAGAACAAACGGAGTAAGGAGAGGCGACTGAAACAACTGACTTCAATGGGGAGAGGACCCTTCTTCGGTAGCTCGCGCAAGATGCGGGGATTCCCCATGAACCTGAGTCCCGGGGGGTTGGACGAGGCCCCTCCGGGGTTTCCGTATTTCACCACGGCTGATGGAAAATTCGAATTCGGATATGGCGCCCCGACGGGATTCCACCACGAATTCTTCGCGGGACACCACCCCCACCAGGGTCCCCCCGGACAGCCGCTCCCCTTCAACCCCCCAGGTGAGGAAACAATAACTGTATCAGAATTGAGATTAACCACAAATTCGTATATCTCTCCTATGTATTTGACGAATCTGTGTCAATTGCTCAGCACACGCAGTGTCAACAGATACAATATCCGATGAACAGGGAGAGTTAGGGGTTAGAGAAATGAGTTATGGATATTTTTAAGACTTTTGAACAGAGTACATTTTATCGACTTTTAATCAGGCAGTCTGCAACAAACACAGAGTAATATCAGTCAGCATAAACGTTCTGATATGCCGTATTACTGAGTATATAAGACACAAATTATAGCATTTTTTGTCCTTGAAAAATCGAGGCGCGTCTTAAATTCGAGGAATTTGCTACTGTCTCATTTTTTTCCTCCCCTGAAACCCACTTTTAGATTTTGAATTCGTCTTAAGTTCGAGGGTATCTTATATTCGAAGTAATACAGTATTTTTGTTGTTTATTTAACGACGATGGTTAATGAACGTTTAATTGGCAAGTACGGAAGGAAGTAACAGTGACCTAATTTGAGTACTATTGTAACATTTTTCTGAAATGGCAGGGGAAAACCACGCATATCCTTAATCAAGGTAGTCTCAGTAGAGACTGGAACCATTCGCGTCCATAATATACGGAAGAAGCGTTACAATTTTAGTCAGATTGTTTGGTCATCTGGCGGGGACCGGAAGTAGAGGTCTTCAGAATAACAAAAGAAGTAGGAAAGACGTGAAGGTCATAATACAGCGATGCTCGAGCCACCAGTACTTCCTAGAACACCACTTCTCATTCCTTAGAACCTTTAATTTGAGGAAATAAATAGGCCTAATATCCTACGTCCAGAGTATAGAAATTTTCCATCTTTTATGGAACCTGAAAGTTCAATACCATCTTCGCATATTACCTCTGCACCACATCCAAACCCAACCGAAGACAGCCCAAGTCTTATTTATTTAAGACTGACATTATACTCCCATCTATTCCTAGGTCTCCTAAGTGGTGTCTTCTTCCAGATTTTCCAAATATGTATAATTTTGTTCACATTTTTCATTTCCCTGCCTACTTCATGTTCGCCTTGGTAACGACCACCGCATTATGTTTAGTGAAGAGCAAACATTATGAAGCTGCTCACACTTCCTAGTCTCTGTTCCTAAATATCTCTACTTACATTTTCAAATCACACGATCACAGTCGTAATTAAACAGTAGAAGGTCAAGCTACAATAATTCATATACTGAAAGGATTATAGAAGATTGGGGATAAACTTGGGATTTCTGGGTTTTGGACTTTGTCCATCGTTCCGTATTCTAAAGAACGCTAAATAACACAACGTTTCGGAAACTGGATCTATTTCCTTCTTCAGGTGAATTGGTGAGGGAAAGAGCTAACCTCAATTCCTTGACGTTCAGTGAATGAGGTTAGCCCTATCTGACGGACCCAACAGAGTAGGTGACTCTCACTTCCTCAAATGAGGAAGGAAACAGATTAGTATCCAAAACGTTGTGTTCTTTAATGTTTTTTAGAAAACAGGACAATGGACAAAGTCCAAAACACAGTGATCCTGGTGTAATACACCATTGTCAGAAACTTTAGAATGTACTAGAGTCTCCATATCTGTTGTACAGCGTCATGTGATTTCAAAACACATTCAGTACTCCCTGTAGAAAGCCCATTTGGAGACCTATCAAATTCACAGCCCGACAGCTGGAAGAGGCGGCTCCCAGAGACCACCTCCGAGCGAAAGATTTTCTTCACTGAGAGATGCCGGCGGAAACAGACAACTTGTCCTTTACCAGTTCCACAGAGCTGCATGTGGTAACCACAGATATTCATGTGAGCCTCTGCTTGCAGGTGGACCTATGGACCAGGGTCCGATACCCATGGGGACCGAGTTTGGAGGACTGACTCCAGAACCTCCCCCGGGTTTCCTCCAGCAGCCTCCTCCTCCCAATGAGCAACTCATCTCACAGAGGTCCAGCCCTGAATTCATCAGCTCACAGGGTCAGTAACGTATCAGCCGCATGGTGTGAGTGGTCATCACTTTTGTTACTGTCTGTATTTCCTTGTTGATTCCCGCCAGGGATAGAGACGTTTCTCTTCCCAACAGCGTCCATATCGGCTCTGAGGCTCACTCAACTTGCTATTCAATTTTTCTCCGGGAGTAAAGCGGCAGGAACGTGAATCTGATCACTCACCTCCATCTAGTGCCAAGATCAAGAATCGTGGAGCTATACCTCCACTACCCTGTATGTACTCAATGCGTCTGTCTATTTAATTAAGTATATGAACGTCTTTACCTTATATAAACATAGTATATGTAAGAAGGTTCTGAGGTCTAGTGGTCAGCGTTCCTGGCTACAGATCCAGAGGTCCCGGGTTCGATTCCCGGCGCTACCAGATTTTCTGAGATGTAGTGGGTCTGGAACGGGGTGCACTCAGCCTCGTGAGGATAATTGAGGAGCTATTTCAAGGAAATACCGGCTCCCATCTAGAAAACTGAGATTAACGGCCGTGTGGATCCGTTGCGCGGACCAAGCGACATCCTCTATTCGCAAAGTGCACTAACTTCGCCGACAAACGGTGGTCGCTCGGTCGATATAGTTCGCTTGTGGACTACAGGTCACGGAGTTACATATACATGTAAGTATGCATGTATGTATGTAGGTGATATGCTGCCTAAAAGCCGGAATATCGAAGTCAGAGCGGGCGTCCATTGCTAGACAATGGCTCGGTAGTCACGTTTCTGCTACAATAAGAGCAGCAGAAACATAATTGTCTGGGTGACAATTAAACATGTTCACATGAGAACGCATAAGTAACAGACCGTTACCACTGAAACAAGAACGAGAATTAATTCAGTTCCCGCGGTAACGACTAAACTAGCTACTGTTGCATCGAAAACGCGAAACGGAACCCTTGAACAAGGAGTCTCCTAGACCGTCCGACTATCGACTATAACAGATCAGGGCAGAAGAGAAGAGAAGAGAGCAGAGAAGTGAGAGGAGAATCCAGAAGAGCAGAGATGCAAGACGAGACAACAGTGAGGGATTCGGTATCCGGGAGTAGTTCAATGTGTGAATTATTATAAAAAACACTCCATGGCCTGTAGTCCTAAAGCGAACTATACCGACCGAGCAAGCGCCACTTTTCGGAGAAGTTAGTGCCAACTTTAGCGGATAGAGGGTGTCGCGTGGTCAGCGCAACGAATCCCCACGGCCGTTAATTTCGTTTTTCTAGACCGGAGCCGCCATTTCCTTGAAATAGCTCCTCAATTATCCTCACGAGGCTGAGTGGACACCGTTCCAGAACCATCACTTCTCAGAAAATCTGGTAGCGCCGGGAATCAATCCCGGACCTCTAGCTCTGAAGCCAGGAACTGTGAGCACTAGACCACAGAGGCTGTCTTCATATGTCCTACAGCAAAAAGAAAAAAAGTGGCATAAACTTGTAGAATAAGTTGAATTCATCTATGACTAAATTATTGAATATTAATATATACATATATACTTAATTACCTACTTACTCATGGAGCTGAGCCCTTCTGGAAGAGCCGCCAATTCTGCAGGTACTCAAGAATTTCCCAGAATTATTATAAGTTAGGGTAATTGTGTTGGTAACATCCAGTAAACCTAATCATCAAATTCAGTATCCACAATTATTTGTCATGGAACCCCGGACACGTGACAGTATGTATGTGTATATGTATATATGCATGCACCAATATGTGTCTGGCTAGTATCGGAGCGGTTGGACAGATATTTATTTATTCTGTTCGGGTTTTATGTGTGTCCACCGTAGGTCGGTGTATTGTGAGTATGATTAGTCCCTCTCCAGAAATAGTGGGCCCAAAAAACAGTTTCTCTCGGAAATGGTTCGAACAATTTTGATTAAATTTCATCAGTTTATAAGACCTCTCTAAGTAGAATTTCACAAGTGGTTATGGTCAGGAAAATAACATCACGTGCATTTAGGGTCAGTTGATTTTGTCGAAATCGGACTTACTGGTCAGACAGAATTCATTGCATTTCTGTGGTACTGAGGAAAACCATAAAAGACTCTTCAGGATAATCGTTGTTCCCACTGAAATTCAAGACAGGCATCTCTCGGATACATGTTAGAAGCTTTATTGCTTGACCTAAGTTTCTTGGTGAAAAAGTAATAGAAATATTTCTTTAATGAAGAAAGGAAAAAAAAAAAGCGCTCACCACTGGTATGGAAATGACCATAAGACGTTATTTGTCTAAGAAATCACATAAACAGATGTGAAGTAAAGAGAACAGAAGAATGTGAAAAGAAAGAATAATTTAAACTTTTGCCAACGAAACATCTGCTATTGACTTCATGTTCCCATGGAACTGGCAGTATTTTAATTGGGAACGGTTATCAAGAAATGTAAGCTTTACAGACGAATATGCACCTGAATTGGGCATAAATAGAGAATCACGTGATATGACAACTCTGCTCGATGCATCCATACTGCTCCCAGACTCAGATCTGATCAGATTTCAACGTTCGTATCTGGTGTTAAACGAACAAAGGTATGACACGGGTCAAGCGACAATCTTGTCCGTTACGTTGACAAACATGAGGAACGGGCGCAAAGACATTATACATAATTTCTCACATAAGATTTACCTTAATAAAATTGCTTTGGAAAAGAGAACGATTGATGTTTCTGTAGGCCATCGCTGCTTCCGAAAAACAACGAAATCAGGCTTATTGCTAAAGCCGGTTTCGAGAAAATTGGCATTTTGTGTTGCGTTTTGGTCCCCAGTGCTCCTGCCGCTCCTACTTTCCTGAAGATTCCGCCTATGCGTTGCTATTTAGGACGTGGTCCCCACAAATTGCAAAAATTTAATCAAAAGTATTAGTCATTTTCAAGAAAAACGTCATTTTATATATTGGTACATGCCTGAAGGGCCCTTACTTATCCAGCTAAATGTTCATATCCACCGGTCACTCATCTATGACGTATAAACTTTTAAATTCCGAATATGAAGAAAAGAGACGTTTCTCTTCTCCACAGCGTCCATGTCTGTTCTGAGGCTCACTCAACTTTCTATTCAATCTTCCCTCGGGAGTAAAGCAGCAGGAACGTGAATCTGATCACTCACCTCCATCTAGTGCCAAGATCAAGAATCGTGGAGCTATACCTCCACTACCTTGTATGTACTCAATGCGTGTGTCTATTTAATTAAGCATATGGACATCTTTATCTTATATAAACATAGTATATGTAAGAAGGTTTTGTGGTCTAGTGGTCAGAGTTCCTGGCTACAGATCCAGAGGTCCCGGGTTCGATTCCCGGCGCTACCAGATTTTCTGAGAAGCAGTGGGTCTGGAACGTGTTCCACTCAGCCTCGAGTGGATAACTGAGGAGCTATTTCAACGAAATATCGGCTCCGGTGTAGAAAACCGAAATTAACGGCCGTGTGGATTCGTTGCGCTCACCACGCGACATACTCTATCCGCTAAAGTTGGCACTAACTTCGCCGACAAACGGTGATCGCTCGGTCGGTATAGTTAGCTTGCGTACTAAAACCACGGAGTTTTACAGGCTAAGTCAGCACCGCGGTCATGTTCGAAATTTTACTTACAGGTAGTTCAGAAGCTCCCTTTAACATGACATTCATACAAAATGTAACTATAATTTCTCGGTGTCTGAGTGCTGAGTCTGTGTGTAGATATAACGCTGATGTAATAATTAACATCTGGAAGAAGTGAAAAATTTATTGATAAAACCGGTAACTTTACCGCCACAGACAACAACTAATTCCACGGAACACAATTTTGTCGCTCAGCTGGTCAAGAAATCCACTGCCTTTTAATAAGACTCCAATATTAATCACTGTGGTCACAGGAACACATCGCTTTTCTTGAAGATCCGTTCTGATATCATTCCCATGTAGACCCATGGCCCAGTACTGTGCCTTGCCTTCAGATCTTCAGATTTAAGACTTGTACGCTTTCTCATCTTTCAGAAACGTGACACAAATGCGGCCCATCTCTTCCATCTTATTTCGATCACGCTAATAATTAATGAAGGGTATAAATATGGAAAGCCGATCACAGTGGCCGCGCAGTCTAATGTAGGCCGCACACCGGCATGCTTCAAGACATGTAAGAGTCAAGACATGATGTCTGTGACATGACGCAAAAAAGGAAGCACAGTTGAGACGAATGTGATTATGTAAACCGCCGCACACCGGTCTGAGTCATGATGCTGACGTCCGCTTCATGCTGACGAATCACGAATGAAACAAGATGCGTCATTTGTCTTATGTCTTGATGTCTGTCTTGACGCAGTTGGTGTGCGACCGCCCTTTAAGGCGGATTCCGGGATCGTTGGTTCGAATCCCACTGAAGGCATGGATGTCCGTGTGCGTTTATTCTGTGTTTGTGTTGTCCTGTGTGTAGGTAGCGGTCTTGCGAAGGGCTGATCACTCGCCCAAGGAGTCCTACCGTCTGTGTAAAAATGAATACGAAACTGGGGCTCTGAATGGGCTGGAAGAGCCATTAAAAATAAATATGAAGTTCCTCATCACAGTATGCGCTCGAAATTCCTGCTACAAAATAAATACTGCTTAAATTTTTCGGCAAATTCAGTGCTTTAAATTTATCGGACACCGAGGTTGCAGTCGAGCCATGGCTTGCTCAGAGCGGCCCCCTGGTTCTTCTTGAGTGACTAATCGACACCCTGGCTGGCACTTCTTTTAAAGACACTGATGTGAAGTATAAAGTTGTTGAAGCTTGTTTAATTTCCGACCTCTCAGTTGAAGAGTTGAAAGCTTTAGCATCTTCATGCTTTGTGGCTCAATTCTGTGTTTCAAAGCACAGACATATCGTTAGATAACAAGAAGGGATTAATACAACAATTTATAACAGTGTTGGACAGTACAGACTCTTTAAATTTTAGGGCTATACCCCAGGTAGCCACACATTTAAAAAGAGACTTAAATCTCATTTTGTTTGTTCATAATAAAAGCCACTCCTTTAGATAACCCGAATTTAAACTCATGCGTAGGATAAAAGGCAAAGTCTCTGCGCTTTAATAAATACCACGCCATGAATACATATTGATCCAATGTGGAGGTGGGTTAGAATTTTTCCACCGTAACCCTGAGAGTCGTAGAAGGCAACGAACCCAGTGTCTGAGGGTATAACTGAGCCATCCTGTCATTGGGGGACATAAATACAGATACCTGGCCCTCCGGGTTGGCGGTTGGACGCAAGGCTGGCGACCTTGCTCTGTGAGAGAAGGAAAAAAAAAGGACTTGCGAAATTCCATAAACGTGAAAACCGTATGGTTTACAAATATGTCTCTTCTAATGAAAGCTATGGCTCAAATACGGCAGTTGTGCTGATTATAATGCTGCTGATGATGAATACTGTCACGTGTATTGGTGACATAGGCGCGGGTTTGGATCGGTGAGTCGATATATTAGATATTCACCAGGCGGAACTACATATAATTAGTTGTAAAACAATCTTACCGTAACTACGAACAACAATAACACTCTAAATATCATTGTAGTAGCACCACATAAACTAAAGACTTCATTGTTACTGTCTCTCTTCTATCTCTGACTTCTGGTTACATCTGTTAGTCGGCTGTGACAGCATACACCGCTCCGCAGGTTTCTGTTCTGCTCTTAGAGATCGCGTTGCGTAAGGAAACATTGCAATTACCGTGATAACCATATCTTGCTTAGTGTATTATTGTCCCAGAGATGCGTTGGAATTGGAACGCGTTAGGCAACCGTTACCTAGCAATGTGTGACTTCACTGCAGAAACAATATTTAACCAGGTGGCAATGGGCGTTTGTTTCGACTTCAATATTCAGGAATTTAGTTGCCACATCACAATACGTATGTGGGAGTGGAAGTACGCTTCCACATATTCTTAACCTCGACACTAGATAGAGGTGATCGTCAGCTTCTAAATCCCACCGCTTTATCCCGCGATATCTACTGGACAATGGGCTGGGTGGGTCTCTCATTCCATGCACTACTTACTGAGATTAACTCTATCTCATCCTCACCCGAAGACTCCAGCACATATAGCTCCCGAAACAACGTGTTTTATTTTAGAATATTGGACGATGGACTCCATGCAGTAGAGTCCTTCTTGAGAAGTCAGCAGCTGCTCATACTCACGAAATATTCTCAGCATTTCATGGAATCATCTTTACAAGAGTCCGTTACTGATCTATATCCTGAGCCAGATGAGTCCAATCCATGCCCCATAAAATTTCTCTAAAATTCATTTTAATATTATCATTCTATGTGCGTCTAGATCTATATAGTGGCCTATATCCTGAGACAGATGAGTCCAGTCCATGGCCCATATAATTTCTCTCGTTCATTTCAATATTATCCTGCTATGTACGTCTAGGTCTATATAGTGGTCCATATCCTGAATCAGATCAGTCCAGTCCATGCTCCATACAATTTCTCTGGAATTCATTTTAATATTATCCTGCTATGTGAACCTAGGTCTTCCTAGTGGTCTATATTCTTAACTTTTCTTACCAAAACCCTGTATGCACTCTTATTCAATGCGTGCTACATGTCCTGCGCGTTCCATCCTCCCTCACTTGATCACTCTAAATATACTTAGTGAAGAGTACAAGTTATGAAGCTCCTCACTGTGCAGTTTTCCGCAACCTCGTAGTGTTTAACTCCTCTTCAGTCCAAATATTCTCCTATATGGGACGAAGGACTATCCCACCAATCAACAAAACAATAGTCTCATACAGATACAATTATACAGGGTCTTAAAAATTACCATCACGATATGGAGAAGTAGGGGGTAGTGGAGATACAGCTCCATCGTTCTTAAGCTTGGCACTAGATGGATATGAGCGGTAAGTTTCACTTTATACCTCCGGAAAGAGCCCCCGGTACCCCCTGTATAGGAGTCTGGGTGGGCCCCACATCCGGTCTGGACGTTTTGAAGAAGAGAAGGCTATTTTTCTCCGGCAGAGAATCGAATTTTCAATTGGCCTAATACTGAAATCAATTACATATACACACATATATATATAAGGTTAAAAAAAAAGGTAAAGCTATCCCTGTAACCGGCCGTGAAGGCCCATAGGGTTGTGAGATGTTGATATTCTCACATCTGAACAATGGATTCACAGATGGCGGTGAGGTTGTCAGTCTTACACGCGGGCCACTCTTTATACCCAGGAATTTCTATTAGAGGCTGAGTCGACCCCAGGGCCATAGTACGGCTGGAAGGATTAAGTGAATTAAAAAAAAAATCCAATTCCCTCATCGGGAATTGAACCCGCGACCTTCCAGTTTGTAACATATTGCCTCAACCAACTGCGCTACCACGATATATATTTGTGGAGGCCATACTGAATCTGTAGGCTGTACATTTTGCTTTATTGCCTTTATGACGTGCTAAGCATCTGTGTCTTACCACATGAATGCCGAAGTTTATATCCTGAATCTGGTAATGTTTTCTGTTGCGACAGGCGGGTTTTCGGAGCCGCAGCAGATGCAGAACGAGGGTCTGGTATGGTGATAGCTGCCTGCGGTTACCGGACCCTGCTGCTGCGAGGACAGCGAGGACACGGAGGAAGACTTCAAGCAGTGAAACGAACATCTTCTGAACAAAACTGTTTTAGGCAGTGATGAGAGAACTACTTATTTAAAGAATTAATTGTCGGAACGTTTTTCCGAGAGCGATTTCACCACATGTGAATCATATTGTGTCAAAAGTGTTAATATTAACTAATAACTTTTTAAATTGTACACAGAAGAACGTGATTCAAATTGTGGATGTTCAAAAAGTGTTTGATAATGAATTGTGACCTGCAAGAAAGTGTGACCGAAAACTTCAAACTAATTCATAAACAACTATTTGAATTACGAAATTCTGGCGAGAAAGTTCCGAAAAATGTTCCACCACGAATATGGCCAATGAGTGAAATTAGTAGAAAACTTTTATACTAGAATGAAGACTGAAATGACTGCTTATGGTGATATTAACGTGTTATATGTAAATTCGAACAGAGTTATTCTAACGTACATGCTGCTTTGACTATGAAATGTGCAAAGAAATCGTATATAAGCAGTGATATGTTACGAGATCCATGATATTATGTATTATTTGCAGAATACAGAAGCTATTGTGATTACAGTCAGTGACGTAACTACTGAATCCTGGCAAACGGATGCCTACTATTATGCAAGAGTGAATTTTATCCAGTTTTCCGATATTAAAGAACATTGAACTAAGAAAATGAAACGTGTGTCAGTGTAAAGAAACTGGTATTGAAGGACGTTTTTGGAATGTATTTAAGTTAAAGAAAAAAACAAATTATTCACGCTTTTGCGTGCGGTAATGAACATAACGTCGAAAGATCGAAAAGAAATTTTCACATTACAAAATCACCGCATGTGCTAGAAAAAAAAAATACAGTCAAAAAATTAATCTAACATTGTTTATCCTTCCACTAATCGAATTATTCAAAATACCTGTGTGTGCAAAGAATACTTTTTGGAGTTATTTTTATTCTAAACATCACTGTTTTGTTTCACCATGTTCCTGTTATCCATTGTGACTATCTTTACTCATTTTTTTAAAAAGGAAATTACTTCAAAATGTTGTATGACATTTATTATGCACCAATTTCGTCTCGTCTATGTATCATAGCTTAGTAACACGGAATATGAATTAGAATAACATATCACATTCATTTAACCCTAATATGACCCGCCCATCTTTAACATTACTTTGTGTTAGATTCTTTCCTAAACCGGAACTATGACCCTGATTTGTAGGGCTTCCCGTCATTTCCGTCGGCCATAATACAGGATGTTGTTTGTGGGCCATCCGCCAATACTTCGGCCGTTCCGGCGGAAGTTCCACGCTCTACTCGCGTCAGATCATTCCGCGTGCACGGAGATTCTTGGCGTGGCCCACACACGGTACAATTTCCCTTCAGTATCGCCCGAATACGCCACTGAACAGCTTTCGTGAAGCGAGTTTATGCGTAACGTACCAGTACTTTCACAAGCCCAAGTGTCATGTTACTACTGCTACTGTGTTTGATCTGCGAGATAAGAAATCACGACTCAAGCGTAATTATTTCTTACGTCGAACTGCCGCATGTTACATAATGGAGCAACTTGTGTTCATGTACAATATATATGTGAAAAGTGATTGTGTAAGGAAAGCAACAGAAGAAGGATACTAGCTTCTGGGATATAACGCCGTGTTGCATGCTGAAAATCAAGAGATATTTCGGAGGAATATCGCTTTTATCATCAGGGTAGAATAAGCAGATAAATATACCAGCGTGAAAGCAGATGACAAGCTAAACGAAGCTTTCACGGTGGTATGTTGTTCGGTTTATTCGACCCTGAAGAAAGAAGCGATATATTCCTCCGAAACACCAGTTGACTTTCAACCAATTATGCGGTATTATATCCCAGAAGATAGTTCTTTTCATAACTACCGCTGCGAGAACCTCAAATCCGAAAAGTAAATAGACGATTCTAGTAATATATAAGAATACTACAATCCCACATAGAAAATATCGTGTCTAGAGAAAGTTATTAGCAGTGGTTTGTGGCCAACGCGCTTCCCCCAATGTCAATCCATGTGAATTTATTTGTGGCGAAACATAAAGCAACATCATTACAGATAGAACCTTCATACATTTGAAGAACTGAAGGAAAATATCCATAGTGAAGTTTACACTGTTTCATAAAAAACATAAACCAGTGAATGTAGGTGCCGGGAATGCATGGAGAACACTGGAGAGCACTTCCAGCATCTGCCGTAATTTGGGCAAGAAAGTTGTATGTGTAGGCACGCCGACTATGTCCCGAGTCCGAAAGCTGTCAGTGCGAAATGACGTGAGTTGCGTGTGCCCTATCCGCTCGAGGAGTCGAATGATTTGCGGTAAGCTCTCAGATGATCTCTCCTTAAATCGCAGTATCTGTAAATATTATTCCACCATTGAATCAGAAAATATGTGAAAAATAACACAACATGAATTTTAAATGCTGTCTTACGCAGAGGTTACCTAATTTTACTGTAATTATTGTATTTAAAAAAATGGATCAGTACCGGAACTGAAACATTAATTAAATCAAGGTCCAATACCGATAATAATTTTCAGACCGCCCTACCAGAAGCACACGGAAAGTGACTTTAGAGGAACAAATAATGAGAGAAAGAATCAAATTGCATGTAATATAAGACCTAGACGTCTCACAATCCTATGGGCATCTACGGCCTGTTACAGGGATAGCTTTACCCTCTTCATAGGCCTTGCATATGGTATGTTCACGGCTATTCGGATTGGTGACAAAGTGAAGTGCGTATTTCTTTCAAATGGAACACAAAAATAAAAAATGAAGGTAAAATTTCGGCCCAATGGTTAAATTTACTTAAAAATTACAGATAATGTGATTAAAGGAACAAGGAAAATATGTAAAACATACCAGAAAATTTTAATAATTGTAGACTTCATATTTTCAGGGCATATGTAGAACTGATATTAAGAATTTAATTTTGAAGTAGCGTTTGTAGTTAGGCATTTAATACGATGCGCACAATAAATGTTCAATGAGAAATATACAAAATCGCCAGCCCGGTACGTATTTTTTCTAGCGTTGTTAGATTTGAGGTTCTCAGTGACGTCATCATAAATTTTATTGCCTTCCTGGGTGTTAAAGTGTGCATTTTTATTGCATATTTAACGACGCTGTCAGTATTTACATCTATATTATACAGCAGTTGGTAGGAGAGAGTGATTGATAAACTGGAAGGGATTTGGAAGGAATCGATTTTGAGGTGATCGAAATATTATATCAGGACACCATATAGATTGGTAGATCTTTAGAGACGCTTCGGAGGACGTTGCTCCCTCCGTCTTCTTGGTAGAAAAGTAGAGGTTGGAAAAGAGGCATGGATATAACACAGAGGGAGAATGTATCAAGACCGGAGTTCAAGGAAAGGGCTTCATATCCTGTCAACGTTCGCCTCAATCCTATTGGTTCGCTGAGGGCTCCGGTGTCATTGCTCAACCTATCCCATACTGCATTTCCCATTTTCGGCTTGTATTCAACCAATGCAGCCAAAAATATCAAGTCACTTGCTGCTGAAATATCAGAAATGGACAGTAACTCCAATGCATGTCATCCGTTTCCCTAACCACGGTTTCTTGAAACTAAATGTTCAGCAATTGTACTGTAGCGTGTAGAGCTTATTTTTCAGAAGCATAAATTGGGCCAAATTAAACAATATTTCAGGTAAAGGTAGAGGTAAAATTTCCCCTGTGTTTAACTAATTAAGCACTATGCCATGAAGGCGTATGGGGGAGTGGATGTATAGATCCACTTTTCATGACTTCAACACTAGCTGGAGGTAAGTGGTCAGCTTCACAAACCGGCCGCTTTACCTAGGGGGAAAATACCGCAGGTACCCATTGGATAGGAGATTTTGCGCACCTCAGAGCCGGTTTGAACGATTTGGATGAGAGAAAATTCTTCACCCCACCGGGACTCGAACTCCGATCCCTCAGTCGTCCAGCCCGTAGCTAGTCGCCATACTGACTGATCTATCCTGGCTCCTAATATTTCAGGTAGGCTAACACATAAATAAGTTTACAGCAATTTATCGAATGCTTCATCAGTGAGAACATTTGTTTTCGCGTCCAAGAGTCGCCTGTGTTACTTAGCTGGACGCAGACTCTTTGCCCATTATTGGAAACTGATGCTCTGTGTAACCTATCTGCTTAAAGTTGAAACATAATCGGTATACAACGGTTTTAGGCCCATTTAGACACATTATCAGGTGCCTCAATTGATAATTAACAGTATTTTCGTTTCAGATTATAGCTTTTTTTTTAATTCCCTTAGTGGGGGGTGGAGTCCAGCTGGGTCTACTCGTCACTTCGGCCACTGAATAGTCTATTCTACCTGCCCCGGTGATTATGATGATGGAGAATTTGGTGGAATGAAGATTGGCAAGGGAAACCGAAGTACTCGGAGTAAACCTGTCCGTCCACCACAAATCCCACTTGACCGGGCCCGGGATCGAACCCGGGCCGCCGCGGTGGGAAGCCAGCGACTAACCACTTGAGCTATGGCACGGCCCCAGATTATAGTTACTATGTTGTGGGAATAATAGTCCTTCATTATCTAAGTAATACGTGTATCTTTCTGTTTCTCTCCAAAGAAGGAATCCCCCCAAATGAGACGATATATCGAAGAACGTTGAACTACATTTCAGGAGTGATTTAATGTTTAGTCTAAAAACGAATGCAAAAAAAAAAAAGTCTGACGAACGTGCAAAGGCTGCCTTCCTTAAATACTTAAACGATATTGGGTCTCTTGCAGCGTACTATATAACCCACTGTCCGCACATGGCCCGCCGAAAATCCGAAATTTCTGTGATATTCTTCTATACATTACATAAAACAGCCTAAGAATAAATATAATATTTTATATTACATCAGTAATAGGGCTATTATTATCTCGTTTACAATCCTCCATCTTGCCTCCCCTACTAAGGACTTAAATTCATGCAAAATTATATGATATCTCTTGGTTCATTGTGGGAGTGAAAACTGGTTCCTCGTCCTATGATAAGAACACAGATTCAGGAGGTTTCAGCGGGGTTCGGGGGGGGGGATGAGTGCATCAAAAATGAATTAACAGAGGAACGGAGAGAAGAGGCCTCCTCCAATCAGAGAGAAGAAGCCAAGGAGAGTGAGACATGTAGAATAAATTAAATTGGAAATTCGTACAGAATCGTTACTCTTCAAATATGTCTCCCGAATAAGTAAAAGAAGATAAATCTCTCCCTGTAACAGGCCGTGAAGGCCCACACGTTTGTGAGACGTTGAGACTCTCACATTTTATAGACAATCGGCTCACAGATGGCAGTGAGGCTGTCAGCCTTATGCGCCGGCCGCCCTTTACCTCTAGGAAGATTCCTGGTACTCATATATGTTAGAGGCTGAGTCGACCCCGGGGCCATAATGCGGTTTGAAGGATTAGGACAATTAAAAAATCGAGTGACGCCATCAGGAGTCGAACCCGCTACCTTCCGGCTTGTAGCATAGTGCCTCAACCAACTACGCTACCGCGTGCCCCATTTCTCCACAATACGAAAATATAATCAGAATTATATATTGAACAAATCTAGCGTTCAAACGTCAAATGTTCTCATGACTGCCATGTTGGTATTGTGACATGACGCCTGAAAGCCGGAGTGCGAAACAAGGCCAGGCGTCCGTTGATGAGCAACGGCTGGGTAAAGACTTGTTTCTGCTACAACAGATAGCAGCGAACGAGTCGTTACCAATAACAAGTTACTACAAACAAGTTTCCCAGGGCAACTAACCGGACAACAGACAACCGGACAACTAATTGTTGGACGTGGTGTATTCTACGAGGGTCTCCTAGCAGTTATAACAAGTAGTGAATTTGAGAAGTAGATGTCGCCTCCATTGTGGAGTCGGGGGGTGAATACCTCC